ATCAGGCGGAGGAGGAGTAGGAGGAGGAGGAAGAGCAGGTGGTGGAGAAGGAGGACGAGGGGGATAGGTGGGAGGGCGAGGAGGAGGAGGAGAAGGAGCAGGAGGAGGAGTAGGAGGAGGAGGCGGAAGAGGAGGAGGAGGAGGAGGAGGAGGAGGAGGAGGAGGAGGAGGAGAGTGAGGAGGAGGAGGAGGAGGAGGAGGAAAGGGAAGGAACAAACGTGGTGAGCAGGAAGAAGAGGAGGAGGAGGAAGAAGGGGAGGAGGAGGCGGAAGAGGAGGAGAAAGACAAGGAGAGGAGGAGGACGAGGAGGAGTACGTAGGAGGAGGAGGCGGAGGAGGAGGAATGGAGGAACAGGCATTCAGAGCAGGAGGAGGAGGACGAGGAGGAGGAGGATAACGAAGAGGTGGAGGCGGAAGAGGAGGAGGAGGAGGAGGAGGAGGAGGAGGAGGAGGAGGAGGACGAGGGCGACGACGATGAGGCATCTTCTTCCCCTCCTCCCCATCCTCCTGCACTCCCTCGTCCCCTTCCCCGTCCCCCTGCTCCTCCTACGTTTCCCCCTCCTTGTCTGCTTCACGCCCCTCTTCCTCCCCATCCTCATGCTTCTCCCTCTCCTCATCCTACTTGCTGATGCCCAAGGCGGAGTCGCGGGCTCTCATCGCCTACCTGTGGGAGCACAGCGCAGGCGACCTCCAGGTCTGGTGGGAGTTGACACTCGAGCTTCTCTCTCGCTTGTCCTAGTGGAAGTCTGGCTGTGCATGTACAGGAGTTTGCAGTGCTTCTACGTCCACTTCGCCGCCCAATCTGCTTGGCTTAGTGCATGGTTTGCGCCAGGCTTTGTCCTGACCAGTCCACCCCAACACTCAATGTGTTGACGAACGGCCCAGGTATGTTCACCATTCCGACTTCGTCTCTGTTTAACGTGCTTGGGCAGTCCTATCTCGTACCATTCACATACTCGCATCACGCGCGACGTTTCTCACCATGATGTAGCATGCACGCACAGATCCAGTTGCTTGCAGCAAACCCCGCCACCGTGCCTGTGCAATAGCTCAGCAGGAAGGAGGCTGAGTACTGGAACAGCGCAATTCCGACGAGCAGTCTGCATTGGGGCGGGTCGTGATCGTGATCTCGTATTCGTCCGCGTGGTAGGGAGGATGACGTGGAGGAGGAGGTGGAGGAGGAGAGGTTGATAATGAGGATGAGGAGAGGCAGGCTTCTTGGGCTTTCTTGGGGCTTCCTGGGGGGTCTCCTGGGAGCTTCCTGTGAGCTTCTTGGGGACCCCTTGGGGCGCTCATGGGGCTTCTTTGGGACCTCTTGGGGCCTCTTGGGCCGTTTTAGGGTGCCCTTGGCCCGTCTGACGCTTATGGAGGCCGCTTCGGGTGCCTCCCTAGGCCGCGTTGGTGCCCTCTTAGGACGGTTCACGGCCGTCTTGGGGCCCTTTCAGGAGCCCCTTGGGCGATCTTTGGGTCCTGTTGGACCGACTTCGGGCCCTCTTGAGGGCCTCTTGAGCTGTCTTGGGGCTATCTTGGAGGCCTCTTGGAAGCTTTTTGTGCCGTCTTGGGCAGTCACCCGAGCAGGTGAGAACCTGAAAATCCGGCAACAGCCAAATGTAAATCAATGGTTTATGCTTTCTCGGATTCTCCAGGCAGCCTCTTGGAGACCTCTTGGGCCATCTTGGGTGTTTCTTGATCTGTCTTGAGGCTGTCTTGGGGGCCTCTTGAGCCGTTGTGGGCCATCTTGTCGTCATTTTGGCTGCTTTGAAAGCCAACTTGGAGGCCTGACGGCTCCCAAGAAGGCCTCAAGACAGATCAAGAGGTCCCCAAGATTGCCCAAGAGGTCTCCAAGAGGCCCTCCAGGAGAGCCCGAGGAGGCCCAAACCACTGATTTGTTTCACCTTCCTTGAATGATTGTGAGGTTATGGCATGTTTGGGTTGGGTTTCCGACCGACCAAGAGATCCCAAGAAGCCTGTCCGGGCCGTCTTGTTGTTCTCTTGGAGCGCTTCAAGGCCCTCTGTCGGAGCCCCCTGGGCAATCTTTGGGTCCTCTTGGGTTATTTGGGCCCTTCGGTTTTGGCCCCTGCGGCTATCTATGGAACATCATTGGTTTTGGCCCCTTCGGGCTCTCCTGAAGGCCTCTTGGAGCTCTCTCTGGCCGTCTTGGGGGCCTCTTTGGCCGTCTTGAGGCCCTCTTGGGCCATTTTGCGTCGTCTGAGGGCCATCTTGAGAGGCTCGTGAGCTGTCGACAGCCTATCATGATACAGCCGACTTCCCATGCTTTAAACAACGCCTCCGTGTCCTAGCATGCACGCGTCAAACAATGAAGGAATTTGGCTGGCACAAGGCACCCGAGGATACCAGGGGCTCCCTCGGGAGCGTGTGGAACCCGAGGCTTGTGGATAGCTTGGCTCTCCGCTTGTTCTGGCCCACCATGCTTTGATGCGACACGCCGTCCACGTCCCATCCCCAAGGCTTCAACGTTCCGAGCCTTTCCAGGCCTCTCGCACCGCGGAGCCAATCGACACGCTTTCCGCTCGCAGAACGCAGCGTCAAGCCAACATATCCGCTCCACAGGTACATCTTTACCACCGCGCAGCATCCTTTGGCTACCCAACACCAGATTCGCTAACGCCCTGCAGTCGCCCATCAGCCAGACCTTAGCCAAACTACGTTTTCTTTGTAAGTCAATGTTCACGGTTGCCTCTGAGCTCGTCTCACCAATTCTAGGGCAGGTTGGTATGAATTACATTCGAGTGTGATCTGAGCTACCCAGTTCATGCTTCACTAGCACCGTAGAGCCTCCCAGCCAGCCAGCGTCTCTGTCGTTGTTGATCCGTGTGCCGCCTACGACTGGTACGAATGAGCGCCCGAATCTTGCAAGAAGGCGTGTGCCGACAAGTCGGCAGTAGCAGGCAAACGCCCGAAGATCTCACCGCAGCGTCGGGCCTGGCCTGGAAGGCTCTTGGTTTCGAGTGGGCGCCTTGCTGGGCCGTGCCTGGGCACCACGAGCAGTAGCCCAGGGCCTGCTGTAGCCCCGCTCGGTTGGCTGGTGGCTTGCAGGCGGCCGGTGCAGGAAGCTGGTTCGCCCCCCCTGGGCAGGTTATCGTAGATGCTGACGGTGGAACAGGCGACCCCGGGGGGAATGAAGCCTAGTCAGATCGGCCGGCCGCTCTGGCTCTTGCCTCTGTCATCGGTTCCCCTCCCGTGCTGTGCTCGGACGGGGCTAGGACGAGGAGGAATTCGTTCCAGGGCGTTCCGGAGCGCTCTCGAGGCGTTCCGGAGCGCTCCGAGAAGGCCGCGGCGCCCGAGGCATGCTCCAGAACCGCCGGATCTCCGAGGTTGTCGATTAATCTTCACCCGATTGGATCCTCGTCCTGGCGTCGTCTTTCTCTGTCATCGGTTCCCCTCTCCTGCTGTGCTGTGCGCTCATCCCGCTGGCTCACCTTTTCCCAACAATGCGTGCGTGACATGACTTTTCCCGCTCTCGCCCGGCCGTCTCCCTCCCGCTCTGCTCCTTTGCCTTCTTCGTGCCATTTGCGGTCCAGGTGCGTCCCTCTGCCCGATTATCCCCTCTTCTGCCTTTGCCTTTTTTTCGATTTACCATGTCGTGTCTTTTTGCTCGGCTCCCATGGCTGCTACCGTGGTTTTCAAAAAGAATGCCAATTTCGCATGCGTGTTGAAGCGGGTCCACCCCCCCGGCCCCAATTTCAAAGTTCGGGGCGGTCGACGCGGGGGAGTGCGAGTCGTTTCGAAAGAAACGCCCACCTTTGTAAACCGCGGCCTGCTCCCTGAGATGAACATTGAAATTTGGGGCGCGGGGGGCGCTCTTGCGCCATCATCTAGGCGTTGTACTTGGGCGTGTTTGTCGTAAGCGCCAGAGTCTGTTTGATTGCGCCACGTACGTGGCACCACATGTATTGGACCATTCAAATTGTGCAAGAGAGCTTACACACCACATCGTTTGCGTCACGTTCTATGCGCAACATAGATTGCGCCGCATAGATGGCACCACATGGTTTGCACCACATAGATTGCTTCGCATAGCTGGCACCGCGTAGATTGCACGGCGTAGCTTGCGCAACATCGATTGCACCACGTAGGTTGCGCCACGTAGATTGCGCCACTAAGAGGAGAATGGTGACTGTGATCCGTCATCCGCGGCCGTCCGGCTGAAGCCCGACTCTCGGCCCCAAGGTTTTGCCGGGCCTTGCCGTCGCGCGCCGCTTCCGCCCTCTCACGGCATGGCCCCGCGCATGTCCAGCGCCGAGCTGGACCGTGCCACCACGGTATTCTCTGCGGGGATAAGCCCGGTGGGGGTGCGCGCACTTTTCGGACGCGCGCGGACGGCCCGCGGCCAGCCTGGCCCCGACCTCACGACCGCGCGCCGCGCGCTCCGCGGGACTACGCGGAAGCGTGCCCGAGCGGAGATGCGCGGTCGCAAGACGAACTTGACCGCCGCGAAATTCCGGGCGATGGACTGCGCCCGGCGCCGCCTTATTCAACGGGCGAAGGAGGGGGGGCGGAAGTGCGCGCCAAGGACGTGATGAGAGCTGCGCGGGTGGCTGACGCGGCGCCGTCCACCGTGTCCAGGCACTTCGCCGAGCATTTGGGCGTCAGTTGGAGATCGCCCCGTGCTGAGCCCCTGCGCACGGAGGAGGACATGGCCGAGCGCGTGGACATGTGCGCGACATGGAAGCGCCTGCCGAACTACTTCTCCACCGAAAGCTTTGACGCGATCATCGACAACAGAGTCTCCCAGATCCCGACGCCCGCCCGCGTGAAGGTGCACGCCCAGCAGAGCTGCGCGAGGGGCCACCTGCGCACTCGCGGCGAGGGGTTGCAGAAGCAGTTCACCATGGCCAAGGGGAACGAGCACAGAGTGAATCCTGGCGCGAGAGTGAACGCGGCGGCGGCGATTATCAAGGGCAAGATCCGCGTCTGGTACTACCTCCCGAAGCGTTGGTGCGCCAGCGCCGCCTGCGACTTCTATTCGAAGGTGCTGGCCCCGTCGCTGCGCCGCAACTACCCCGTCGAGGCCCTGGGGCCGCGGGGGGCTTCGGGCGGAGGCCCTGCTCGTGAGGAGCGCGCCGCGGCGACGCCCCGGACAGTTCGCGGCGCCAGCAAGGGGCGAGCGCCCAGCTCTCATCCTTTGGCCGACTTTTGCACAGTTGCTTGCAGTTGCCGGGTAGTTGCCGGCCAGTTGCCAGATTGTTGCCACCTGCGCTTTACGCAGTTGCCGTCGTTCTGGTTCGGAAACATATTATATCCATCTTCTTCCGACAGAACGCTCGGCAATTATGTGAGACGCAGGCGGCGACCATCCGGCAACTAGCCGGCAACTGTCCGGCAACTACCGGCGATTGTGCAAAACACAGGGTCTGCCGTAGAAGGCGAGCCAGGGGTTCGACCCGCGGCCGACCGCCACCCCCCCCGCATTCTTGGCGCCCTGTCAACCTGCCTCAAGGCATGCCCAGCACTGCCTGGCTCATCATTACCCAGTCCAGCTCGGGCCGACCCCGCATCCGCAGCTGCTTCTGGCAAATCGCACCAGGAGTTCGAAACCTACCAACTGTGCTGCAATCGCGATCTGGATGGGCCGCAGGGCCGAGTGGCGAACGCGGCCGGGGTGCGCGCGCGAGTCGCGCGCGCGCGAGTGGCAGGCGGAAGTGGCTGGCGCGGATTGCGGGTCGGGTCGCAAGCATGGGTCGCGGGGACGCCTCGCGTCGCAGGTCGCGAGCGCGGGTCGCGGGCTAAGTTGGCGGGTTGCAGGTCGCTGGTATTGGCGGCGATATCATCGTCGTATCCTTAGCCAACCTAAGACTGCACACGTGATATCGTTGCCGCTTTTGCCGCTCATCGGCAACGCTGCCTGATCGGAATGGTGCTCTCGCCGCAGCGCTTGCCACCAGGGCCGCGTCATTTCCCCCCCGGGGCAGGTGTTCAAGCGCTCGCCCAGCCGCCGACGCCGCGACCGGGGCCAGACCAAACCGCGTAGATTGCACCGCGTAGCTGGGCGCGCCCAACCGACCGTCGGGGGGCGCCGTGTTTTTTTTGTTCTCTATTGTTTTGAAAAAAAACCTCCATCTCGCATGCGCGTTGAAGCGTCCCCCCCGGGCCCAATTTCAAAGATCAGGGCGGTCGACGCGGGGGACCCAATTTCATGCGGTCGCGGCTTGCCCCCTTAGATGGACGTTGAAATAGGGAGCGCGGGGGGCAAGTTTGTTTTACCTTCGAGAATGATCGCCCTGCCCCTTCCTTTCCATTTTTTCCTGCCACGCCCCCGCCCGCCTGCAGAATTGCCCCGCCCCCCCTCCTTTCCCCCTCGCCTTCCGCAGCTATCCCTCCAGTTCTTGTCTTTCCTCCCACTTCCCTGCCCGCCAGCAGAATTTGTTTTCTCTCCCTCCGCCCCTTGCCTTCCACAACTATCCCTCCAGCTCTTGTCCCCTTCCCTCCTTTGCCTGTTCCCCCTGCTTCGCCATGCGTTGCATGGGCGCTGAAGGGGCGCCGCTTGGGGCCCGAACGCAGGGCGCATTCAGAACGCAGGTGCGATCACCCGGGGGCGCGCCCACGAAGAGGGCAGGCGGGCATACTTTGGCGGGCGCAGAGGCCCGCCGGCCGTCGACATGAGTACTGGTGAAACTACGACATATCCTGGCTTCGCTGTTGCAAGCAGTCTCGGGCGAAACGCAGCGCCGGCTGATCGGGGCAGGGGGGGAGAAGGGGGGGCGGGAGAAACAGCAAAAAGGAAGCAGCAATCTTCTTCATCCAGGTGGACAGCCACTGCATAAACATAGACATGTTGAAGCGCCGCGCGCATGCCTTGTATCCGCGCCCCCCCTTGGCGGCGCCTCCAGCGCCGCCCCTGGCGCGCTCCGCGCGCCAGGGCCCGCGCGGAGCTCCGAAAGTCTAGACGTAGGAGAAGCCGAGTGCTTGGCTCTTGTTTCAGTAGCTCTCGGGGGCCCAGCGGGTCGCTGGGGCCTCGAGGTTGCGCGAGGGGTGCACCTCTCCTCGCCCCGCCCGCCTGCCGCCCCCCCCCCTTTGGAGCAGCGCTCGAGCCGCTGCCCCCCCCTCCTCTGCTTCGGTTCGGGGGCCAGCGGTTTTCACGTTGTACGTCGACGGCGCAGCCGACGCGTTCGATGCGCAGAACACGACGGAGTCCATCATGAGTCCAGGCGCATACCAGAACACAGTTATCACGCGCCGCATGGAAGAGATCAAAATTGTCCATAATGTCAGCAACCAGGAAAACCGACTGTACCTACGTGGACAGAACGCAGTATATCTCGAGGCAAGTTTCTCACGTGAGCACTGACTGGATGGGAAGACGACAGTCTGTGCCACCAGACTTCCCTAAGTCGCGCCATGATGCCATTGGTGGGATTCCGAAGCCGCGAATCAATGTGAACGCAGCCTTGAATCGTGCCAGGATTCCGTTCTTGGGACGTCAGCCATACGAATATTTGTCCGCGGCGTGGCCAGGGGGGAAGTGAGAAGGAGCAGGACTTCTCAGAAGCTTGCGAGACATCTCACAAGCCCTCTGGCCTTCTGAGATGTTTTCTGTGCCCCCAGAGAAGGCTGATACATTTTTTCAGAAGGCCCGAGGCCTTACGAGCGTTCTGAGAAGGCCCGCCCCTCCTCACTCCCCCCCATGGGCGACCCGGCCTTCGGGTCACAACTCGGGTGTCAAACGACCGTTCGGGACGATCTGGGCACCCCCGGAACGCCATCGGCGCGGCGCACCCGCTGGAAGGCACCCCGAGGCTAGTAGAGCGCTGAGAACCCGCGAGCCTCCAAAAGCTTCAAACTTCGAACCCGAAACTTCCTCCCTTTGGGCTCGCCGCCGACCTCGAACTGCTTGCAGAATCTGGAGCGAAGTGCGCGCGGCGCCCTGCCGGCCCAAGGCGACCCGGAGCGGCTGTGCGAGGAGCTGGGGCTGCCCGAGGACCAGCCGCACGGCGTGGCCATTGCGCGGAGCCGCCCGCGGTCAGGGGCCTCCTCGCGAGGAGGACTAGGAGGAGGAGGAGGACCAATGTAAACCCAAGGAGGAGAAGGAGGAGGAGAAGGAGGAGGAGGAGGAGGAGGACGAGGAGGACGAGGAGGAGGAGGACCAATGTAAACCCAAGGAGGGGGAGGAGGAGGGGGAGGAGGAGGAGGAGGAGGAGGAGGAGGAGGAGGAGGAGGAGGAGGAGGAGGACCAATGCAAACCCAAGGAGGAGGAGGAGGAGGAGGAGGAGGAGGAGGTGGAGGAGGAGGAGGAGGAGGAGGGGGAGGACCAGTGTAAACCCAAGACTCACCCACGATGTTGGATTACACCCTCCCTCCGAGCTCCCTCGTCATAGGCCCCCAGAAGGATTCGTTTCCATTGAGGGCAGAGCCCCATTGGGAGACAACCGTTTGAAGACACTGAGGCCTGCCTGAACATCATTCTCGGGACCCGAACGCCGCGAATCAAATTGATTGTATCGTCTTGACGACCCTGACCCGCTCCAGAACGCCATTCCTACACCGCGAATACATATAAATGATGTGGCATGACAATCCCAAATCCTTCAGAGCTCGTTTCTGGCAAGTTGACAATGGAAATCTGTTAAACTTCTGCAAATGTGTAAGGCGAATGTGCGCGGTGCTACGGCAAGAGTTACATTTTGAAAAGGAACCGCCCTCATTTCGTGAATCTCTTGCAAATGTTGAAAAAGATTGTGCGCGGTAGTGAGGCGAGAACCACATTTTGAAGATCACTCGCCCTCCATCCGTGATGCTCTTGCACATGCTTAAAACGAATGCGTGCGGCCCTAAGGCGAGAACCACATTCTGAAACTCACCCGTCCTCAATCCTTGAAGCTCTTACAATGTTAAAGACGGACGTGCGCGGCGCTAAGGCAAGAGCAACATTTTGAAAACGACTTGCCCTCCATCCGTGAAGCTTTTGCCAGATTTAAGAAGGAGTGTGCGCGGTCTAAGGCAAGAGGCACATTTCCACAATCGCCCTTCATTTGTGAAACTGCTATCGCTTTGAAGCTTCAAGAACATAGGTGGTACGGAAGTCTCAGGCGAAACGCCTGGCCCGCCCTTCCAGTCCCGCGTGTGCTTCAGCCGTCTCATGCGGGCACGCTGACTCTTCTTGCTGGGGTCTTGGTTACCCAGGCAGGGCGCGTTCAGCCGCTCGCCTGGCCGCACGTGGTGCTGCGCGCTCGCCCCGCAGCGTTGGCAGAAGATCAGATCCGGTGCCGCCTGGCCATGCTCGTCCACGACCGATGCCTGCACGATGGCATGCCCACGCACGCGCCACGGCAGGCCGCGCGTACCCGCGAGGCTGCCGCTGGGCACGCTGCATCGCGCGACCCTGATGAGCCTGGAGCCCGCTTGCCGCGCCACTTCAGCGTCGGCAGCCTCAGCGCCCTCCAGCTGCTTGCCATCGATGTCGAAGGTGACGTCCGCTGTGCCGGCAACGCCGTCGTTGTCCACGAGGCCGTGGCTACCGTGATGTTGCCCGAGCGTGCCGATCCAGCGTCCCAGCTGCAGCCCCCGCCTTAGGCAGGGTCGGGTAAATAGGACGCTTTTCTTGGGAATGCCCCAGAGCGCAGCCCTGTTCTTGGCCCAGAAATCGGCGAGGGAGGAGGAAGAGGAGGAGGATAAAGGATGAATGATGACGATGTTGATGGCAATGCTGATGATGATGATGATGATGATGATGATGATGATGATGATGATGATGATGATGATGGTGATGGTGATGGTGATGGTGATGGTGATGGTGATGGTGATGGTGATGATGACGATGATGATGATGATGATGATGATGATGATGATGATGATGATGATGATGATGATGATGATGATGATGATGATGATGATGGCGACGACGACGATGAAGATGAGGAGGAGAAGGAGGAGGAAGTGGAGTCTGGTGGAGGAGGAGGGGGGTGACGATGAGGAGAAGGAGGAGGAGGAAGAATAGGCAGTCGAGGGCGGAACAGGCCGAGGATGATGATTCTGTCTCTCCCTCTAGCAGGCACAGCTCGTCGGGAGCTTCAAAATGGGCACGGCTGCCTCGATTGTCTCTTCCCCCCCCCCGGTGGCTTCAGTTCCGACTCGACAGCTGGAATTGGGGCCGACGAGATACAGCCGCCGGCACGACTGAGACACTGCCAGCTTTTGAATGCAGGGTCAGAGGGCGCCTAAAGGTACTGCGACGCGGGCGTGCAAGTCGGCCGAGGTCCACCGCTTTGGGGATCACGTGATCGCTGTTTTGCGGGGGCGTGCCAGTTTCGGCTAGATTCGGGACCCCCAGAGGGGACCCACGTGTCCCCAGGCGAACAAACCCTAAGTCGAGCATCTATTCCAGGGTGCACTTGTTGCAGCTCCATGGTGCGGCCTATTTGTTCAATCCGTGTGTCTGGCGGGGGGCCCTGTGCACTGGTATACCTCTCTTGACGGCAAGTGGGCTGCCTTTTCCTTTTCTATCTTGCCTCAGTCAAAATCACGATGATCCCCACCACGACCGATCGACAGATCAAGCACCTGGCTTGGGTCGATCCGTGCTATCATGGGCTTGGCGTCGGAAGGGTGTGGTTACTCGATCCGCTGCGCTTGGCAGCGCGGACTCCTCTCTCGGACACCCGACCAGGTTGCGCGGGTCTTCTTGGTATGGCTTCGGGTTGCGTGCAGACAGCCCCCCAGGTAGTCCCGGCTGGCCTCAACAAGCCCCCCGAGTAGTCCCAGCTGGCCTCAACAGGACCCCCGAGTAGCCAGGGGCGGTCTCAACACCTCTACAGTGGGGCGCGGAGCACCCCAGGGGTGCCGGTGGAGGCGGCGCTGGCGTGTTGAGACAGCACCAGACTACTTCTGGGCCCTGTCAGGCCAGCTGGGGCTGTCTAGGGGGCTGTCCGTGCGCAGCCCGAAGGCTTGCCCAACTTTCTCTCCCCCGCCTTCTCCTGCTCAGAGAACTTTCCTGCGCCTCAAGGGCGGTCCGCGCCCCACGTCAACGTCCTCTTTGCCCTCCCGCTCCTCGGACTTGGCATCGCTCGGACGCGTACATTTCTTCTCGGCGAGGACCATCGAGGAGCGTCCTGGAACATTCACAAAGCACGCACGAAACCGAAACATACACGGAGAGTGGACGTCCGAGCGATGGCGTGCGGACGCGGGGCCCTCGAGCCAGCCCGGCGGAGGCTGCAGCAGCAGCGAGGGGAGGTCGCGAGTCGAAGACCGGGCTTTGGCGGAAGCTTTACCTCGTCTCCTGGGGCAAGCCCGCGCCATACCACACCGTGGCTCCTCACGGAAGGCTTTCTGCGGAAACGCTGCAGAGCACAGGGCCCGAGAGGCTGGCAGGCAACAGCGGCAGAGTCACAAGAGTGGTACAGCGGGGTTGAAGAGTTTGTACATTGGGCAGTTTTTCGTTCCTGGGTATTTTTGTTGGCTATCGATCTGCAGTCGTCGTGGTGCTCACTTGAGGCGTCCCGCCCGTCCCGGGCCTCAGACTCCATTTCCTTCCTAATGACTTGCCTTCCTACTCCATCCAAGCAGCACGCCGGCATCGATCTGCAGGATCTTCCTCCACCCCTTCCCTCCGCTCATAACTTGTTATGCATGCGTCTCGCATTGCATGTTGTCCAGACGCGCCAGACTTCTGAGGCCACGGCCTTGCCCACCTGGTCTTGGCCAGGCCCGGGCGGTGTCCGCAGCGATGGCCGCATCGTATCGTGTTTCTGCTCCGTCCGCCGTCGGAGGAGCTGGGACGAAATCATGTGCTTCCTGCGCAACATCGCCACGGTGGCGTGCTGCATGGCGGGCGCCGCCGCGGGCTTCATGGTGCGCCCGCCGCCCCCGCGCGCCGCCGCTCCGCCCCGGCAGGCCCTGTGCGGCCTGGGTGGTTTTTTGGGGGGCCGCGGCCTGTGTCCTCACGAGCCCTCGCGCCGGTGCTGGGCTCGTGCGTCGGGGGATGGAGGCTCGAGGATCGGCGGCGAGCGAGGGGGGAGACATGGGAAGGAGAAGGCTTTGTCAGAAGGCGGCGGGGACTTCTCAGAAGCCCTCGCGCCTTCTGAGAAGCGTTCTGCGCCTTCGGGGAAGGCTTCGAAGACTTCTCAGAAGGCTGAGGAACTTCCGAGCCTTCTGAGAAGGCCCGCCCCTTCTCACTTCCCCCCCTGGGCGCGCCGCCTAGAGGAGGAAGATGCGGCCAGGAACTTCTGCTTAGCGTGTCGCTCCGCTGGCTCTCTCCCACCACGCTTCTGCGCGACGTGCCAACTACGTCCCTGTTTCCAAGCGTGAACGTCCCTGGTTTTTCCCAGCCTCCCGCGGAGCGGAGTGACTAGCTCTTGGCACGCTTCAGGGTCTTCAAACGGTTGTCTCCCGATGAGGCGGAGGGTTTATTCCAACATCATGAGTTTGCACTGGTCCTCCTCCTCCTCCTCCTCCCTCCTCCTCCTCCTCCTCCTCCTCCTCCTCCTCCTCCTCCTCCTCCTCCTCCTCCTCCCCCCCGTCCTCCTCCGCCTCGCCCTCCTTCTC